GGGCTGGCACAGGGCAGGCAAGCTGGGCCTCTGCAGCACTGGCCCCAGAGACTCACACAGCCCTCACAGTGAGCGTCTCCTTCAGTCTGGTGCCCACCCTAAGGACCTAGAGAGTCTAGACTGCAGGCTGAGGGCAGCCAGCGGGACACCTGCACTTCCGGAACGTTCAGTTGGATAACCTGACTCAAATGGAGATGTGTTGTGCGCACTTCCTCCCACACACCCCAGTGCAGATGGACAGCAGAAATGAGCTTTCTCTCTCCTGTTCCCTTCCTTACCTAAATGATGCTGTACATGCACACTGTTCTCAGCCATCACAGTGGATTCCCGAGGACAGACATGAAGGAGGTCATGGCTGGGCAGGACCATCAGAGCCTGATGGTCAGAGAAGTAGCTCATTCACTCAGATGGGATGAAAGGCAGTGCTGGGAACGAGGGTCTGACTCATGTTTACTTCATCAAGTCAGACATTTGGATTACTGCATTAAAAATATGAAGTGGCGGCCCTCCCTGGTGGCGCAGCGGGTTAAAGCACAGCACTGAGAATCTAAAGCTGCTTCCTCATGAGTTCGATTCCCGCCTGCCCCGGAGGTGACCACATGGTGTGGCAGACCTCTCCTGACCCGCCCGCTGCTCCCCTCAGCAGTGTACTTTGTCAATCTGCCTGTTCTGCTCCCCACTCTGTCTCTGGTGAATCCTCTCACCCTCCGCATCTCTGGCCTGTACCCCAGTTCTGTATGAATAAATAAAATAAATCTTTAAAAAAAAATATGAAGTGGCTTCAAAAAATGGGCAGAAGAGCTAAAAAGACACTTCTCCAAAGAGGAAATGCGGATGGCCAACAAGCATATGAAAAAATGTTCAACATCACTTGTAATAAGGGAGATGCAAATTAAAACTACCATGAGATACCACCTCACCCCAGTGAGAATGGCACATCTTCAAACAACTAGCAATGACAAATGTTGGTGAAGATGTGGAGAAAAAGGAACTCTCCTGCACTGTTGGTGGGCATGTTAATTAGTACTACCACTATGGAAAATTGTTTGGAGTTTCCTCAAACTGCTAAACATGGAGCTTCCCTATGACCCAGCAATCCCACTCCTAGGTATCTACCCAAAAGACACACAAAAAAACACTGGTTCAAAAAGATACCTACACCCCCATTTTATTGCTGCTTTATTCACAATTGGAAAGACATGGAAGTAGCCCAAATGCCAAAAAATGGATGACTGGATTAAAAAGATGTGGTACATATACACAGTGGAATATTACTCAGCAACCAAAAAAGAGAAACACATGCCTTTGGCAGCAACGTGGATGGAAGTGGAAAAGATCATGCTTAGTGAATTAAGCCAGAAAAAAAGGGAAAAATACCAGATGGTTTCTCTCATAGCAGGAACATAACATAACAGTCAAGAAAATAATGATAATGATGAACAGCTATATACCAGAGACATCTTTTGGGGGTGGAGTGGGGAATGGGATCAAAAACAGTGGGGGGAGGGAAATGCACTGGACTGTGGTGATGGCACATGGGTGAATTGGTGATGGGAAGTTCAAGGGGATTGTAACTGAGCTGGAAAAATGCACAAAATGATGTAAAAATAAACTATTATATTATTTTAAAATATATAAGATGCAGGCTGCCAGTGGTCCAACCACTATGGAGAGCTATGTGGAAGTTCCTCAAACTACTGAAAATGGAGCTTCCATATGATTCAGCAATTCTTCTCCTAGTAATCTACCCAAAGAACACAAAAACATTAATTCAAAAGGACACCTGCACCCTATGCTTATTGCAGCAGTTACAATAGGTAAGCTCTGGAAGCAACCCAGATGCCCAATAATAGATGACTGGATCAAGAAGATGTGGTATATTACATCATGGAATATTACTCAACATTCAAAAAGGATAAACTCATGCTCTTTGCATGGATGGAGCTGGAAGAGATTATGTTCAGTGACATAAGCCAGAAAGAAAAAGAAAAACATCGAATGGTCTCACTTATAGGAGGAATGTAGAGAAAACAAAAAAGGAATCAGTAAAAAAGTAACTATAATAAAGTAAAAATCAAAATCATCAGGCAACTATAGATCAGTTATATTCTGTAGGAGGAGTAGGAAGGACCAGGACAGGGATGGGAAGAGCACAAGGGACTTTGGTGATGGTGCACAGGGGAACTGGTGGTGGGAATTTCACGGGGAAATCATATACTGCACAAAAATGAAAGATGATATAATGAATATATTTTTAAACATTTTTAAAATACGACGTAGGGGCCCTCCCTGGTGTTGCAGCAGGTTGAAGCACAGCACTAAGAAGCTGAAGCCACTTCAGCATGAGTTCGATCCCCGGAGGTGACCACATGGCACCGCAGACCTTTCCTGACCCGCCAGCTGCTCCCCTCAGCAGTATAATCCGTCAATCTGCCTGTTCAGCTCCCCACTCTGTCTCTGGTGAACCCTCTCGCCACCCCTGCACCTCTGGCCTGTACCCCAGTTCTGTATGCATAAATGGATAAATCGTTAAAAAAAAAAAAAAGGATGTAGGGCCTTCCTGGTGGCACAGGGGTTAAAGTCTCAGCACTATGAAGCTATTGCCAGCCACTGTACCACGAGTTCCATCCCTGGGCAGGGAGCCGACTCACAGGGCACAGCAGACCTCTCCTGCCGCACTCGCTGCTCCTCTCAGCAGTGTTTCAGTCTATTTGTGCTGCTCCCTGCTCTGTCTCTGATGAACCCTCTCACCACACCCCTTCTTGCACCTCTGTTCTACACCCATTTCGTCTATGCATAATAAATGAAAATAAACCTAAAATAAACACAGTGTAGCTTTCCAGCCTTACACCTAGCTGAAACTTGGGCATCTGCTGCACCAAATATAGTGCACTTCCACACAAGCCAGCGGACATCTCGGTCCCACGCGGACTCCTGGGGTTGTGTTAAGCCGATGGCCACTGGGAGCATCCCTGCCATCAATGAGGCTCCAAGACCAGTCTTGAGAAAGTGCTTGACAAGGAAAGAAGTGAAACCTTTTATGACACTCCTGGCGATTGAATTCCTTTGCAAATTGATGCATGTTAAAACTGCCAGCATTTTAAAGATAACCGTAAAGAAACGGAAGGTTTTCAACCTGACCTCCATTGGAAGCCCGCTCTCAAGAGCAGGAAGCACAGGCTGTAGGCCCGGTACCCTGAGGCAGCCCCTTGAGGCAGACCCCTGTTGAGACAGGAGCAAGCCATCATGCGCATAAAGGGCTCTCCCAGCCAGGGGGCGGGGCAAGGCCAGAGGGGGAGGAGGGCTGGTTGGAGTAGGGGCCTCACACTCACTTCCGGCCCAGCCCACAGAGAACCCAGGCCCAGGAGGTGGAGGCTCCAACAGGTACAAGGATTTCCTGAAACTGCAGTTTTGTGGGGCGCAACCGTGGGGGCGGGTGTCTTGGTATTCACGGTGCGGTGTGGTGGTCATTCCACGCTGGATTTGCAGTCTTTGCAAGCCTGCACTGATTTAGCACGGACACGTCGCTACCCGCTTTATCAATATACTTATATTTTCTCTGCTTTTAAGGCCCGGAATTTAGGCCGCAATGCAACAGGCTTTGGAACGAGCGTTGGGTCGTGCAGAGTCTGTCATTGAAAGTGCCCAGCAGAGGCCGCCTAAAAGGAAATGTTCGCCTGGTGGGGAACAATCGCTCCACGACAAGCTGTACGACATCTACGTGGAAGAATGTGCAAAGGAGCCTGCGGTGGCGGAGGAGCTCAGGAGCAATGTGAACCTGTTGGAGAAGCTCGTGGCCCGAGAGGCCTTGCCGTGTTTGGTGGTGAACCTGTACCCAGGAGAGGAGGGCTATTCTCTGATGCTGCGGGGGGCTGAGGACTCCTCTCCCGAGACCATCCGACTGCCCTATGAGGACGGGCAACTGCTGGAGTACCTGGATGCGGAACAGTTACCCCCCGTCTTGGTGGACCTGCTGGAAAAGTCTGAGATGAACTTGTTTCATCGAGGGTGTGTCATCGCCGAAGTGCGGGACTACCGGCAGGCAGGCGCCGCGGAACCCCCCGGCTACCAGAGCAGGCACGTTCTCTTACGGCCAGGCATGCAGACCCTCGCCGCGGACGTGCACGCCATAGCCGGCGATGACCCGAGCTGGAGCCAGGACGACAAGCTGCTGCTGGAGAGCGAGCTGCTCTTAGCTACGGCCGAACCCCTGTGCCTCGACCCTTCTGTAGCAGTAGCCTGCACGGAAAACAGACTGCTCTACAACAAGCAAAAGATGAACACGCGCCCGATGAAGCAAAACTTCAGGAGGCATTCTGTGCCCTCCCTGACCAGGGAGCAGGCCGTGTCTCCCTGGCCGCTGCCTGCGCAGCTGAGAGCACTGACCTCGTGGGGAAAAGCCAGAGAGAGGAGGGCAGTCCAGCAGTATGACCTCAAAATCTCCAAGGCAGGAGACTGTGTGGATACGTGGAAGCAGAGACGCTGTGACCTGGCCGTACCTTCTGAAGTGGATGTGGACAAGTATGCCAAGGGGAGGAAGTCCGCCCGGCCCGTGGCCTCACAGGCAAGCGTGCGGCCGGTGCGTGAGGTGAAAGAGCGCTCGGTGTCGGCAGGGGAGGCTGGCAGCGCGCCCCACACGACAAAGCCGACCTTCATGCAGCCGCTGAGTGACCCACGGGCCTCTGCGGAAAGGTCACGTGAGGAAGCCAGATGCCAGAGACAAGGGTCTCTCCCTGATCATCCCTCCACACAGGACCATTCATATAGCTTCATGCCTGGCTCAGAGACTGATGCTGGGATGTTCATCTATCTGTCTGAGGAACTGGACCAGAAGAAGGCCCCATCTCCAGTCAGGATGTCATCAAGCCGTGGGGGCTCAAGCAGTCTCAGCCAGTTTTCCCCAGGCGAGGAAACACAGCAGCCCAAGACCACTCTGGTTCAGTCTTCAGTCTTGGAGAAGGACGTCAAGCATCTGCCTTCACCTATCCAGCTCCTCCCAAGCCCAGGAAAGAGTTCCTCAGGGAAAATCTTTATTCCAGGCCAGGCAAGCAGCATTCTGAAATCTCTGTCTTCTGCTCTTGCTTCTAAGTCACCAAGTGTTTCCCAGAAGTCCTCTGAGGAAGTGGATGAAGGTAACAAGATTCCTGCAGCTACTTCATTCACTGTGAACTCCTCTGAGGAAATGACTGTCCCATCCACTCTCAAGTCCTCTCAGAGTCTGAGCTGGTCACCTGTCAGCTCATCAAGGAGAATTCAGGCCCTGTCTACTGTCAGCTCCTCACAGAGAACACCAGACACCCCAGTCATGGCCGATTCCCCTGGCCTGGACATCATCAGTGTGGTGGGCCCTGTTCTTGAGGCCCAGGCTTTGGCCAGTGGGTCCCACCCCATACAGGGCTCTACCCCTGAGGCCATAACTCCTGGAGGAATCAAACTCAGCAACCAGCCAGCAGCACATCAGAAACCAAGTGTGCAACCTGGTGCATTGCAGGAACCTTCTCAAGTGGGTGTGCAGCTTTTTATAGAAAATGCTCCCAACCTCAAGCCGGTCACTCTCCTCCATCTTTCAAAAGGTTCGCTTGTTTTGAAGAATGAGCAGCTGTCCCAGCAGCAGCAGTGGCTCTGTCAATTAATTGAACCCCAAGGGCAGCACCCCTCCATGTTGTGTCGCCAGCAAGACCCCAGTGTACCGGAATCAAACAGTTACCAGCAAGCAATTGTTATTAACCTCAGTGGGCTGGGAAGTTTGCAGGCCCAGCCAGATGTATGGTCTCAGCATGGTTGTGGCCAGAGCACAGCGGGGCAAAGCCTCCCTGAGGAGACTCCGATATTCCTCTGCCTTGAGGAAGCGTCAACCTCAGACATCACAGAGTCAGCAAGTGCAGCAGTTGAGGATCTCGCCAGCGACTGTGACGACAGCAGCAGCCCCAGGAGCTCAGCCACCTCAGCCACCTCAGACAGCAGGCCTGTCCACAGGTAAAGTGAACCTGGACCCACCGGCCGCCCCCAACCCTGACTCTTGCACCACCTTCTCTCTCTTTAAAATTGCAAGAGAGTGACCCGAACAGATTCTCGGTTTTTACACCCATTTAGGTGCTCCTGACGTGTCAGAACTGGGGCTTGTTGGGCCAAGTTTGTGCAGACTGCGCACGCAAGCACAGTCCCGTGACTTTTCCTAGGGCAGGAAGTGATGCCGTACACGGGCTCAGGTCATCGCTCTGCTGGCGCTGGATGACCTAGTGCTTTTGCTGACAGTGCTAACGCGCCTCCCAGTCCAAACTAGCTTCAGTGAAAAGTCCTGAAGCCTCCCCTCCCCTAAACCAAGCGAGTAAACGAGGAGTTGGACAGGAGGAGGGTAAAGAGCCCCCAGAACGTGAACTGTCTCGTGAGCCCGCCAGCGAGCAGGTCCGCCGCGTTCCGTCTTCTCACTGTGCAGCCAGCCCCGGGAGTGTGCTTCTCCTCGGGGTGACACTGTCGCCACTGGCACCAGCTCCCCATTTCCCGCTGCCCCCAGCCCTGGCAGCACTTCCTGTCCCCCGTGGCGTGCTGTTGCCTGCTCTGCCTGCTTCCTGGGGCGGAGCCACACGGCCTGGCTCTGTGACTGGCTTGTGGCACAGGGTGTTTGTTGGCGTCCTGTCCTCCAGTTCACCCGTGTTGTCACACGTGCCGGGACGGTCATGACGTGGAAAACGGTTCCACCGTACTTAGTGTGTGCCCGAGTGACGGGTGAGAGGCCGGAAACATCTTTCAGAAGGAGGGACTTTGGGGTGGGCTAAGTGGCAGAGGCGTGTGCGAGACGGTTTTCCCAAGTGCGTCTTGCGAAGGCTGTCCAAACTGCGCCCACGCTTGGACCTAGGCCAGGCCGACGTGAGGGTGCCGACGTGAGGGTGCCGACGGGTCAGCAGCCACGCTGGCGGGGAGCCCCCCTTCCAGAGGCGCCTTCCGTGCCAGGGCCCTGGGGAGCCCGGCTGGCCTCAGGCTGCAGTGCCTGGCCTGGAAAAGGCACTTCCAGGACACCTCGTGTTCCCTCTTCAGAAAACCCTGTCCCTTCCGGGGCCTCCGGGGTGTTGGCAGAGAAGTGGCCACAGGCCTGGGAACGAGCTGTCAGCCTTTCCAGCGTGGGGACTTTGCTGGGCCTGCGGCGAGACCCACCCTGCTTCCTTTTCCTGCCTTCCCTCTGCTCGTTGACGTCACAACCGTTCAGCTGTCCCTGCTCCCTGGCGTCTCTTGTCCTTTTGTCCCCACGCCCCGAACGCTCGTCTTCGCCCCTTTCTGTTTATTGGGGTGAAACTGAGAGCAGTTGCCATCAGCCATTGCAGGGGTGCGACAGGGTGCGGCAGGTGCACTGGCTGGAGGGACAGTGGCGGCGGCCTGCGGCACCCCCCACTGGAGACACCTTCCTCCACCCAGAAGACACCTCTGCCCCAGGAGCACTGGCTTCCTGTGCTCCCAGCCTCAGGCCGGAGCCGCGGCTGCGCGGTCTCTGTGGCGCCTGTTCTGGCTCCTTCCTGCGGGCGGAATCGTCTGCTCTGGCCTTGAGCGTCTGGCCTCCTTCACGGCCATGTTCTCGAGAGGCCTGACGTGCACCAGGCTGTCGTAGGTTGTGACAACACCCCGTCACTTGTAAACACCACGTCTGGTTTAGCCCTGACCCACGCGTGCACCCCGGGGCTGCTCCCACCTTTGGGTGCCCAGTCGAGGGCCCCTTAGGTTTCGTTTTGTTACACCGTTGAAAGGCAGCGTTGCAAAACTTGTTTCTAAGGACACGTGGCGGCGTCTGTGCCTTTTCCACTGAGGACGACGGGAAGGACGCTTAGTCCACGCTTCCAAAGATCTGATGGCGAGCAGCGGTGACTGCTTGTCGCTCTGTCACCAGGCTTCTGCCCACTGCTCCGAGGCTGTGAAAGAAGGTCATGGCCGCCTTCCAGAGGCTCACAGGATTTGCCATCTGGGTGACCCTGATGCCAGCCCCTTGCGGCTTTGTGGCGCCATCCTGGGCCTGTGTGAACGGAGCCTGCACCTCTCCGGAGGGAACCAGCGAATGAGCGAGCGGGTGGTGCGAGTTTCCTTGCTGAGCCTTGGGAGCCGCCGGACACCTGAGCGGGGAATCTCCAGGGTCTGTGCAGCTCCTCCCTTGGCCGGGGGCCTGTCAGGCGCTGCGCGTCGCTGCCAGGGAGCAGCCGCGGGGAGCAGTCGCTTGGGTAGTTGGCATCCCCTTCGCAGGCTAACAAATACAACACGTGAGATCACCCTGTTGTGGTTCATGTTTATTTCCTCTAATGATGACCCCCGCCACTTACAAATTGGTAATTGTGAGTATTGACTGATTTTGTTTTGGAGTAACTTTTTCATTCACTTTATTCACCAGAACGCAGAGTCTTTTTCCTACCCTAGCTCCAGTCCATACTCAGCTGAACGTTCAGTAACATCCAGATGTTCCCAACATAGAGGACACGGTGGGCAGATGGAATCCCTCTCACAGGGCAGGAGAGTACTTGTGTGTGGAGGGAGGACCTCGTTGTAGGCCAACACTAATGGAAATAGAATGCAAGCCCCTTAGGCAGTCTTATATTTTCTAGCAGCCACATTTTACAAAGGAAAATGACTTAAGAAATTTACTTAGCCAGGGCCCTCCCTGGTGGCGCAGCATGTTGGAGCACAGCACTATGAAGCTCTCCGAAGCCACTGCAGCACGAGTTAAATCCAGCCAGGGAGGTGACCCACATGGCACAGCCGACCTCCTGTCTCCCCACTGCTCCCCTCAGCAATGTACTTCGTCAGTCTGCCTGTTTTCCTCCCCACTCAGTCTCTGGTGAATCCTCTCACCCCTGCACCTCTGGCCTGTACCCCAGCTCTGCATGCACAAATAAATAAATCTTAAAAAAAAAAAAAAGAAAATTACTTACCCAATATATTGAAAATATTATTTATCCATGTAGTCAATATTTTCAAATTCTTGAGTGAAACATTTTACATTCTGTTATCCTTACTAAGTCTTCAAAATGCAGGCACAGCCTGTCTTAATGCAGATGTTAAGTGTTGAGACCTACTGGATCTGGATTTAAATTTCTATGAAATCCACAGTTAACAATGTCCATTCACTTTCTAAAAATACTTAGGTTCCCAAAAGTTGAATTAAGTTTTAAAATTTAAATCAGTGTTGCCTGATCAGGCCTCATGGCCAGGGTCAGCTGCCCATGTGGCCTCGGTGACGGACCACACAGCAGCGAAGGAAGGAGGGGCAGAGGCCGCTGCAGCAGTGATGAAGGTACCAATCTTGAGATGAGGCGGATGCCCCCTCATCGGGACACACTTTGCAAGTGGAGTGATGATGCTGATTCAAAGCACTGAGTCCACGCTCCCCAAATCCTCAGAACCCTGGTGGCCTGGGCCAGGAACTTCCATGGAGCGAGGTGGGTGGTAGAGGCTGGAAAGCAAGAGTCCGTTCTGTGCTGGGCTCTGCCCTGCTGAATTAATGCCACCTATGCAGAAGACGCTAGCTATCCTGCATGTCATTAAGACACCTGTACCACCGACCCAGAGACAGCAAGACAGGGGCTGCCTCATCTGCTCTGGCCATCTCCTGGGTCTCTAACACTTAGGGAGGACAAAACCAGAACAGACAATGTTGGTAGCTGGAGACTCAGTGTTCTCTCCGCTTTGGTATGGATTTGATCAGCTAAACTGGTAATGTTTCTACAGCCCACCGCACACCTTTCATCTACCCCAAGCTGCCAGGCCCCTCTCTTGGGTCACCTTTCTTCCCCTGTTTCATTCCCCCCATAGCCACAGGCAGCAAAGGGTGTGTGAGTTAATTGTTAAATTCAGTTCAACAAGTTCCTCATTAGGGACAAATTACCTGAGTTTGAAATCTGCTAATTTTCCAATCAGAGTGAGTGTTTGCACTTGTGATTTGGAAATAATTACCATATGGTAACAGCAAAACCTATGTGGGGATTAAAGTAAAGGTGAGGGGGACAGGAGCTTATTTTGGCATCTTCCTCAGAAAGTCGTGTTAGCATATTCAGATTAGTTGAGGCGCCTCTGGGGTGGTGTGGGAATGCTCACCTGTTCCACTGTTTTGCAAAGGCTGTTTACTTCCTGTGCTAAAGTCCCTGAAAGGTGAGCTTGGTTGGCCTCGGGAGGAGAGCAGGGTGCCTTTGCCTGAACTGGGTCTGGAAAGATAGGACATTTGATTTTAGCCATTTCTTCTAAAATTTCATCTATACTTTTGTTTATATCTGTCCTCAGCCTAAAGTGTCTGCATGAGTTACAATGAAAAGAATTTCTGGGTGGTGGAATTGGTGAATCAAAATGTCCTTTGGGTGTGTCTCACAGGGGATGTATTGCAGAATCCGCCTCTGGAAGATTGATGACTAGCAGGGTAGTAACTGCTGCAGAGTATTACTGTGATCCAAAGCGTAGAAGTCTGGATCGGCCACCTTCAGCCGTTCTTCCCAAGGCCCGTTACTTCATCACTAGTTCCAAAGGTTGGCAAACCCACGGTAAAGAATAGTCAAGGTTTCAGGTCATTTACGAGCCAATGCTGAAAAGCTCTCTTGGACAAGTTGCTTTTGAAATGAGGAGACAAGCAAATCTCCCTCCTGATAGCTGGAGATATGCAAGACCTTAGGTTTCTTTGCACCTCAGCTGCCAGGAATCTCAAACCTAAATCTGAAACTGAACCCACCAAGTCTACATTTAGCATTAGTGCTTCAACTCTTCCTGCTCCTTTTAATTTCTCTTTTACTGCTTTTTTGTGCTTATCTTTTGTCATGCAGGACTTCAAATTGTTTGACAAAGGGAACTGGAAAAAAATGCCTACCTAGTGCGTGAACACATGCAAATAAATAGGCGCTTCTATTTGTTTCTTTAATCTGCTTTTAATCTTTTAATAACCTGGCCCATTCGGTGTTATTGTCCTCACTTACAAAAGGAGGCATAGACAAGACCTGCCTATAACAGCAAAGCCAGTGTGTTTCTGAAGTTCTGTGGCCAGGTCTCAGCTCAGATGGGAGCTGCCTACAAGAAACCATCTTACTTTTTCCAATTAGTGCTTCCAGAGCCCTCTCTTTCCCATTCTTCAGTGACTTCCTGGCCTCAGGGGCAGAGAGAGAAGAGAGACAGCTCTGCCTGAGGCCGTGGTCTTTCCAGGTCTGATGCTGGGATCTTGGTGGGGTGGGGCTCGCCTAGGGAGGGCCTATTCGGTTTTTCTGATGTGTCAGTGTTCAGCTTCGCTGGGCTCCTTCCCTGAGGCCCCTCTCAGAGAAGAGCAGCGGTCTCAACCCTTCCCCGGTTTCTGTCTCCCATGTGTTCTTGCATCCAGAACTTTGGGAGGCTGCGTGGAACCCTGATGGTTGTGTGGGTCCCAGAAGGAGGGAGGGAAGTTCCCCTTTCCAGGCACACTATCCCTGGCCCCTGTGAGCCGCACTGTCTATAATGTCTCCACCACAAGAGGGCTCCAGACTCCAGTTCATGCACAGCATACACGGCAGCGTGTTTCTTAAACTCCTGCTACCCAGCAGCGCCCAGGGCTCCTTGGCTGGGTCTGTGGCTGCACACAGCTCAGCCAGTCCGGGCAGGAAGGTGCAGGCGGACTCCCCCCTGCAGACCTCCCTGCTCTCCTCCAGCGGCCCCCTCACACCCCTCTGCTCTCGACTTGGAAGCAGGGCAGCAGCTGGACGCCTCTCTCCCCTCCCCTTCCCATTTGCCCCTGAAGAAAGGGGCCTCGCCCCAGGAGCCCTCAAGCCTTTCTTCCTCCACATTCTCTCGAATTTACAAAGTTGAAGGGGCAGCCCGAGTTACAACAAGGCCATTTGGGCTGTTTCTTAGTCCTCTGAAAAGACGAGTCTGCTGACTGCTTGGAGTCTTCCGGATGTGGGAGCGCGGGATGCCTTTGGTTTCCAGTGTGGGGCATTAGCAACTCTGGGACTACAGAAGTGTGTGTGTGCACACGCGCGTACACACACACACAGGCAGACACAGACACACACCCCTGCCCAGCCTTCTCCCTCCGCCCTACCCCATTATCTAAACGTGAAGGCAGAGGCCTGCAGCTGGAGGGACAGTTTTGGAAGACCTTTCTGTAGGGTTATGGTCAGACTTGAATAAGAAATCAGTGGGACGGGCAGGGGGCGACTAACTCTCCGCCCCTATAATCACTAAGAGGGGTGAGGCCTTCTTTGGTATGGAAAAGTTGCTCTCAGAATTATGTAACACATTATGCAAATAGGGCTTCAAAGCAAATCCCCTCAGCTGTCCCCAACCCCCCACAGCGTCACTTTTGGGCTCTGAGCAGCTCTTAAGTATCAGAGCTTCCACCGGGAGAAGTGAAGCGGGGGGTGGGATGATTTAAAAAAGTGTTATTTGGGGTTATGAACACTTTGAGAAATAAGTGTTATTTTGACATTAGTGTTTGGTGTTGTGTGGAGAGTGGGGCCTTGGAGTTTGAGATTATGGGCCTGTGCCTATTGGTAGTGAGGGTTAAACCACTGGAACAGCTACCTGTGTGAGCTGGGAAAGAGGAGGCCCAGCATCCCCTCAGGGATTCGGGAATCACGGAAGGGTCTTACCCGAGTATTGTGAAAGACGGTGACGTGAAACAGGCCCTGGATTCTTGAAGGTATTTGAGTGGGGAACAGTGTGCTTCGGAGTTAGACATCAAGATGATTGATTTCTAACTTCACATTGGTTGCAAGAGTTTTCTTCATTGTGATTTTTTTAAAAGATTGAGAGTGTGCTCACATGCAAGGATTTTACTTGGTACTTAAAGGCAGAGTTTAACATTTTTCTTTAATCCCGTAGAGGGAAATCTACTTAGAACAAAGGTAAATATATAAATGGCTGCCAAACAAGGAGATGATGGCAAAAACCATTAAAGATGAATCATACTGGGTAGAACTAGGGAAGGTCCTTCGAGAAGGTGATCGCTGAATAGCTTTTGGACTTTGAAAGGTTGACCGAGTTGCAGGAGCTTCCTCAGCACAGGAACGGCTGGCAAAAGAAAGGCAGAGTCGGATGGGCACGAAGAGCGCTGTCTACGCAGACCGCGCTGTAAGCACAGGGGCAGGCGAAGGACAGGGCAGAAATGACAGGTCAGCTCCAGAACATGGGTCTGATTGGGAAGTGAAGAAAACAGACTCCACTGTTTAAACAAGGAATCCAACAGAGTTAGGATGGGGTTTTGCCTAAAGGAAGAGAAAGAAATTTCTAAGGCTTTCTGTCACTTAACAGAGACATCTGACAAATACTTGGTTTTTTTTTTTTTTTTGTTTTGTTTTGTTTTTGCAGAAAATGGAATTGGAAATTTGGGTGATCTACCAGAGTTTTTAGGTTTTACTGTACAAGAAATAGCAACAATCGGATAACCAGCTAGATACATATGTGTGTGTGTGTATATATATATATGTTATAGGGTACCCCAAATCTGTTAGAGGACAGGGAGAGAGGGACACCCCTGAAGCCCCAAACCTGCCTGCTCTAAGTGGGTTCTGCCATCCGCCGCAAGACAAAACATAAAACTTTAATGAAAAGGGACTTTAATACAGTGAATATACAATACAGAACACAAGGATTATAACTTCTAAAGCAAACACCTGAAGTGACCCATCCCCTCGTGGGCAAAAGTCCACCCAGAAGGGATTGGCCCAAAGCAAGGCCTGAAAGCCCGCCACAAGCCTAAAGCACCTTCTGGCCGGGACCCATGGAAAAGGGTCAGAAATGGCCAGACAAATCTGGGAGCAAAAGAGCAAAATCAAAATCAATATGAACACTGCCATAGTCACCTCCCTACAGGTATCTCGCCCACATCTGCCTTCGCCAGTCCAGGGTCGGGAAACAAGCCCGGTTTCTTCATCACATGCTTGCTGCTCCATGTGGCTTCCTCAGGTCTCTTCCTCTATCTCCATCCTGCTTCATTTCCTTCTTCTCTCTCCTTTCTCTCTTCTCAGCTCCACCCTCCTTCTGGGTGGGGCAGGGAACCTAGAACTTCCCCTTTTCCTAGGGACCCCCTGTTACACACAAACACACACACACACACACATTTACAAATAACACTCCCAAGGAGAGTTTTATAGTGAGACCAAGACAGTTACAGAAAACAAAACAGGATCATCACTTTTTATTCAAGCCTCCACACTGGCCAGAGGAATAGAATGAGTATTTGGGTAAATGTTCCCAATTCTAATTTTATGAGACCACACAATAGTGTCTGCTTGTCGAGCTCTAGGGAAAGATGGAACATTTTCACCAGCAGTTGAGACTGGTGGTCTCAAGATGAAGCTTTATAATCGCCCAAAGCCTAAATTTCACAATATGGAAAAGGAAAAGCTATAGAGAAGCTCCATACAGTAAATATGAGGTTGATTGTATTTGGTTGAACCACATGAGACAGCTAATGTTTGAGCAGTGAAAAATGGCAATTTTATGTAGTTCATTCTAATATCTAGGGTTTCCATCTTGAATCCCAGATGAGAAATAGAGAGTTAGCTCCGTCAATATTGGGGAGCTAGTGAGGGGAAATGTCATTATGGGGGGGTGGGTAGCACAGTTTATCTGGCAGGAAGGAGAATGACTTGAGGGAGAGGGCTGAGAAGTATGCTAGGTCCCCATTGAGATGCTAATTCAGCATTAATCTTTTAAGTAAAAGTTTAAGAAAAAGAGTTTAAATCTCTCCCCAGTAATAGACTGCAATGAGTGGACTGTAAAGATGGGCTTTCGTGCCATGGTGGACACACACACAGAGACTTGTAACTGAACGCAGGGCTTATGGGACAGGCCTGTGGGGGGCGCTTAGTATCTCATGCAAATACAAGCCACCCCACAGATCACTAGCTGGGTAATCCTTGTCAGGTGGCCCCGCCACCGCCTCAGGACCTGCGAATCTGGGTGGGGTTAATACTTAAGTCTGGGAAGCACACTTTGAGAAGCATTGCTCTCTGCTCTGGGGAAGGCCCCATGAGGCCATGAGAAGGGTTCTCTGCTTCTACAGAAGGAGAAGCATGAAAGGTTTTGTTTTGTTTGGCTTGAAGTGAGATGCGACTGCCCACGAAGTAAGCATTGGAAAAGGAAAAAGGGAGGAACTCGCTCAGGGACACAGAGCTAGAGAAAGGGGTGGATGTGAATCCAAAATTTCCAACTTCAGTCTCTGTACTAAGAATGTCCAGAGGGTTGTGAAAGTGTCCTCACCTTCAAGATTTTTCTTTATTTAAGCATACAAGAACTGGGGTGCAGGCCAGGCGTGTGGGGTGTGTGGGGGGGAGGATCCACCAGAGACAGAGTGGGGAGCAGAACAGGCAGATGTCCTGAAGTACACTGCTGAGGGGAGCAGCAGGTGAGACAGGAGAGGTCTGCTGCACCCTGTGGGTCACTTCCCTGACTGGGGATTGAACTCATGCTGTCGTGGTGGCAGATAGCTTCATAGTGCTGATGTTACAGGGCAGGGAGAGGGGCACCCCTAAACTCTCAAACCTGCCCACTCTAAATGGGTTCTGCCATCCGCCACATCAAGACAAAACCTATAAGACCTTTGATGGAAAGGAACTTTAATACAACTAGTGTACGATATAGAAAAGACAAAGGATATAGTTTCTAAATCAAACACCCAAAGTTACCCATCCCCTCATGGGTAAAAGCCCACCCAAAAGGGATTGGCCCAAAGCAAGGCCTGAAAACCTAAAGCCACAAGCCTAAAGTACCTTCTAGCCGGGACCCAGAGAAAAGGGTCAGAAATGGCCAGACAAGTCTGGGAGGAAAAGAGCAAAATCAAAGTCAAGATAAACGCTGCCATAGTCACCTCTCCTTGGGTCTCTCACCCACATCTGTTTCAATCAGTCCAGGACCAAGAAGCAAGCACAGTTTCTTCACATGTCTCTCTGCTCCATGTGGCTCCCTCAGGGTTCCTTCTGGCTCTCTATCCTGCTTCCTTCCTCTTCAGTCTCCTCTCCAGAGTCTTCTCCTCCCTGCTCAGCTCCGCTCTCCCCTTTTCATGGGGACACTCCTGTTACTGTGAGACTTTAACCCCTGCACCATCAGGGAGGCCCCATCCTTCAAGATTTTAAAAAGTGAGAGTGAGGCCTGTTCTCATTTCAGTTAGAGAGGCCTTGACTTGGTGTTTGGGGGCTCTTTATGACCAGCTGGGCCTGTTGGAGCATCGGACACTTGGGAGTTTTATTGCCCAGCTGACTACTCCCCTGGTGGCTGTTTACATCTCTGTATAGTTTTAAATTATTTTGCCTCCTCACTTGAAACGATAAGCTGGTTAACGAGAAGAGGTATCTATCCAGAGTGCTGATTTAAAGTAGAATGACTGGGCCCTCCCTGGTGGCGCAACGGATTAAAGCACAGCACTGTGAAGATATAGCAGCCACTGCAGCACGAGTTTGATCCCCAGCCCTGGAGGTGACCCACATGACACAGCAGACCTGTCCACTGCTCCCCTCAGCAGTGTATTTCGTTGATCTGCCTGTTCTGTTCCCTACTCTGTCTCTGGTGAATCCTCTCACCCCCTGCACCTCTGACATGTACCCCAGTTCTGTATGCATAAATAAATAAATCTTGAAAAAAATAAAGTAGAATGACTCCTGAATTATACCCTTAAACATGGTGAAGATGATTAAAAAATATGGAATGAGTTAAATGAGAGACATAAACACAATAATCCTGGATTTTCACCTCAGATTTGTAAGGTATATCCATATTCTAATTTCTTATTACATCAAGATATCTCTAGTTCTTCAAAACAAAATTTAAAGGAAGAAATTTTTATTCAATTTGGCTGTTTCTTTATGGGAATAAAATTATCCAAGCCCACAGTGTGTTATTTCTGGAGAAGTACTTGCAAATATCAGCCAGAAAGTGTTCATGTCTTCTCTTTTAGGAAGCAAACATGAAAATTATAATAATAAAGTAATTGATTTTTTTTAAGTGCAAAATTTAAGAATTCCAAGTATCAGGTCATGGAAGCAGTTTGGAGGGCTGTAACACAGTTAAGTTTCATTCTACATTTTAATACACATTTGGGTTCCAAACACAATATTAATGTGTCATTTGAATTGGTAGATAAACCATGCTCTTTCTTGCATACTTAATGAGAAAAAAAATAAGCAGCGTGCATCATCTGTTAAATGGGGAAAAGTCAAACTTTGTCCTTCCATATTATGAATATGATTAAAGAATATATTAAAATGGAAATTATAGTACGATCTTTAATAGTATGCTGATTTAAAGTTATTTAGGGTTTTTAAATTTTTAAAATTGTGGTAAAGCTACATGTAACAGAAAATAGACCACAAAAAACTTTTTTAATGTGTAGTCCCATGGTATTAAATACAGTCGCAGTATTGTTTAACTGATCTAAATTCATGTTTTTCAACTAAAGTTGCTTCCTCTCATCTACCGTAGGGGAATAACAGTGATTTAGCAAATGGAAGATGAGATTACAGATTTCTGTACATGGCTAAGGATGGAGACTCAAGACTGTGGGGTGACAATCTGGAGCGCATAGGTGGGGCGCCCGTCTGTGTGTGTGTTTTCTGTTCATCAGGGCTGTGTGCTGTACTGTTTCTCATGGTACAAGTCATAGAAATACATTCGAGGCCCTTCCTGGTGGCATAACAGATTAGGACGCAGCACTGCTAGCTGGCCTCAGCTGCTTCAGGGCGAGTTCGATCCCCGGCCCCGGGGGTGACCCACATGGCGTGGCAGACCTCTCCTGACCTGCCTGCTGCTCCCCTCAGCAGCGTACTTAATCAGTCGGCCTGTTCTGCTCCCCACTCTGTCTCTGGTGAATCCTCTCACCCTCCACACCTCAGGCCTGTACCCCAGTTCTGTATACATAAATAAATAAACCTTAAAAAAAAAAAAAGAAATCCATTTGAACCACTTTAAGCAGGAAGAGACATTTGTTGGCATAGGACGCTGGCATGTCCAGAGGGCGAGCTTGCCTTCAGGCCTCTCAGAGGTCAAGAGACATAGAAGGACGCCCTGCCACTTCCTCTCCCCTCTCTTCCGGTCTCCTCTGCTGGTGTCTTTATCTCCTACATATTCTTCTGGGTCTTGGGAGAGAGGGCACAGCTCACAGCATCCCAGCCCAGGGACCCCAGAAAAAAGAGACTCTTACAATCTATAGCTAGATGGACAGACGATAGGAAGGAAGGAAAAATAAACGAGAGAACGTTTCCGACAATGCTCTCTCAGAGCCATAACTTCCATCAGACTCAGTGGCTGCACCCCACCTAGGTGTGTACTGACATCCTCTGCTGCTGGCCCTGGGGTGCTTCCGCTCCCCTTGTTGATTTCCTTGAACAAGTCTGCCCTCATTTGTTACGTAGTCTCTTTATTAAATGCTCCCTGGTTCCAAGTTCGAGTG